GGGTTTAACAGTTCTCTATTTTATTACCTATTACGAGAATTATTTAGTGTACCAACGGTGGGGTTGCTCTAAAACTAATCCCCTCTCTCTCTCTCTTTAACGAAGCCATGAACGACCGCCGTCTCAGAACCGGATCAGACTCCGAGAAGAAGGCCAATTCTTCCCTAAAAGTGGGAAGCGGCTCAGAGTACGAGTCTCGCAAGAAAAAAAATCTAAAAGGGGGGATAAAAAATCCAAAAGGGGGGTTCCAAATCCATTATATTACGGGTATGATTTTGCTTTTTGTTTTTAGGGTTTGTGAATTAGGCTGCGTTTCGGATTTGCAGCTTAATGAATTAGGCTGCGTTTGCCATCTGCATATATTTACATGTTTTGAGTTTGAGATTTGCTCTTTTAGGTTACTGTGCTTGAATTTAATTGATTTTATTCCTAATTTTTTTAATTGATTTTGCTGTTGCATCAGAGGAGGAGAAACAAGCCGCGATTGCAGAGTACTACGCATGTGAGCTCCTCAATGCGCCTCTGATTCATCTAACTGTACTTGTAAATTTATCCAACATTTTATCTTGTAATTTTCAGGGGAAGCGCAAGAGCAAGAGCGATTCCCTCACTTAAAAGAAGGAAGGCAACTTGTGTTGGTGGTGCCTGGTAATTATTTTATTTTTTAAATTGGATCAATTCGGTTTGAGTTTTGAGTATAAACTTGGTTTAGTTTTAGCGTGGTTCTATAAGACAGTCTTACTTACATGGGCTCACATCTACGTATCTAGGGTTTAGGGCGGGGGAATTCTTATTTATTGTGTACATTGATGTAAGGGAGCATCAATTTCAACTTTCTGTCCTAACAAATTAACGTATATTCAAATGCAACTGAACATGACCATTGACCAACCAACCGGTAGTAACTAGTGAGTGCATGATTTGAATGAGATTGAGGATGCCAAGTAATTAAGGGCCTTTAGTTAAATGTGTGTGTGTGTATTTTTGCAAACAAACAGATGAGGAGAATATAGACAAGCCTGTTTTAGACTCTGTGACTGATCAGCTCAATACTACCCCGACTTGTGAGGAGAAAAGTCGTTGCACGGGCAATCACAAACAAACAGATGATGAGGAGAAGGGGCCTCTATGTCGAATTTGCCGTGATGGTCACCATGGGCTTGAGTACTGCCCGTGGCGTGGACGTGTCCCGATGGATGCAACTGAAGTTGGCAAGGGCTTTGAAATAACTTGTCATTTTTGTGGTAGTTTGGATAACAAGTGCAAGCATAATTGGAGCCATGCTGTCGAGGTTTTCTGTCGTATTTGTAATGTGGAAGGAGACCACTCGGAGCTTGAGTGCCCAAAGCTACCAGAGATAGCCAAAGAGGAGGCAAGAGTGGAAGCCAAAAAAGCAAAGAAGAAAGCAGCCAAAGCCAGGGCAAGGGCCAGAGCCAAAGTTCTTAAAGACGGACAGTTGGGTTCCTCCACCATCACTTGTTGATAGCATGCTGTTGTGGAAAGAAGGAATGGAGACGACCGAGTGCTGCAATCCAAATGTCTAGTCTAAGGATGCCAATGCCATTCAACATGGTATTGGCATGTCAACGCCTCAATTTTCTTCTTCCTTTTGCATGTTAAAAGAATAATTATTTATTTCTCATCACGTTGCACTTTGAAATTGAAAAATACGTCGCTTAACTACCTAAATCTCACATATAAATTGGACTATGAGTTTTAGGACGATTTTAAGTTTTAAAAGCAAAGTGAGGCTCGAGTTTTGTTTCAAGAAGCAAATCTGTAGTGTTATTAACGAGAATACTGTTTGTGGTCCAAAGATAGTGGAATGGCCCAAAATGCGAAATGGAGCATAAAGAGCGATTTTCTGTGGAAACAAGTTTTGACTTTGTCGGTTCCTAACAAAATCAAGCATTTTGTGTGGAGATGTCTAATTGAGTTTATCAGGTGCAACTTTAATCTCTCCCAAAAGAAAGTAACTCATTCTCCTTGATGTGGAAGTTGTAAGGAGAAAGCGGAGACTAGTCTTCATTCGTTGTGGGGCTGTGGGGAATTGGCAGAGTTCTGGATGAATTTTATTTGGTGGGATGCGTGTCGGGCTTGGAGAGTTCATTCGTTCAAAGAACTTTGGGGAGCTATGGTGCTGGTCTTGAAAATGGAGGAGTTAGAATTGTTTGCAATGGTTTGCTGGGATATTTGGAATGATAGAAATGACATGGTCTATGAAAAGTACTACCTTGAGAAGCCATTGAATCCATGCACAAGGATGAATCACGAACGCAGCAACAAGCAAAGATCTTCCACTCTCTCTACACGTCTTATGCACTCCTACATGCAGGGGCGGATCCACAGTGGGGTCGTCGGGGTCGAACGACCCCTTGGAAACCATGGAAACAACCTTGAAGCTCCCATATGCGACCTCTTGGAGCTGGGGTCGTCGGGGTCGTCAGGAAGAGGAAGAAGAAGACTCGGCAGGAAGAGGAAGAAGAAGCAGCTCGCGCGACGTGCAGGTTCTGTGTAGAGTTTCTGACCTTTAATTCCCACTTCACAGAGACGAGAGAGAGAGAGAGGGAAGGAAAGTCCTCGGGGTGGTGGTGATGTAGACCTTCGTCGGGGTAGTGGTGTGGGTGTGCGTGGGTGTGGATTCGATCGGAGAGAGTGAGAGAGTTAAAGAGTGAAAAAGAGAGAGAGAGTGAGAGAGAGAGAGAGAGAGGAGAGTTCGGGGAGATGAGAAGGAGGACAATGGGGACTTGCCCCGTGGCAAGTTGTGATAGTAGGAAATCCCAAAAAGGGATCCGGATAGGGTAAGTAAGTGGGGACCAAATTGTAAACTTCACTTAACTGTAGGGAAATTGTGAAATTACAAGGAAATCTTTGGGGAGGGGTTTTACAGAAACCCTTCTCAACACTTAAAAGCAAACTACGTGCTTTTAATCAGGTTTGGCTCTATAATTGAACTTGTAACCATGCCTTTCCCTATGACGGAGTTGTGATATGCTTTGCCAGATATTCACAAGGAATTCATTTTTCTTTTTCCAATTGCAAAATATTAGTGAACAAGTTGTTTCTTCTATGAGAGATCCAAGCATAATGGTTGGGTAGATGCAGATGAGGAAATCAGCAGTTGCTGTATTTGGCACAGTAAGATATTAACTCTTACATCTAAATTGAAAAACATGAAAATTTCCTAGTTCTCAAGGTCTCACGTGCATGCTCAGATACATTTGTGCTTCATATTTGTGTGTTTGATTCCGAGAAGGCCGACAAGTTGAAGCAATCTCTTCCTCCATGTTTGAACGTTCAGGACCTTTGAACAAGGATTTTGGAGTAGCTGGTTGCACTATCCTACCAAGACCCGATGAAATGACGATATGCATGCCGTTTCTGTTAAAAAAAAATTTCGCGCTGCGCGCGCTATCCTTATTGACCCCCCAAACATTATTTCCTGGATCCACCACTACCTACATGGTGTCGTATTTTTATCGAATTAGTGGTTCTCATCGTTGGAGATTATTGTTTCCTAAATTTCTCTACAATACTCTAGAGGAAAACATAAACATTTATGTTCGAATTGATTAATAAAATCCTTCTATCGTTTCGAAAACAAAAAGAAAATCCCTCTAGGGAAAGTTTGCATCATGAGACTTTACGGAAAAAAGGGCATCCAATAGACTCGTTTACAAAGCTCATAACTTTTCAGTTAAAAGCTATGAGAATGGAAAGTTCGGCAAACCCACACAATGAACAGCCTAATTTGGTATCGAATTCGCCATCCACGAGATTCGAATCTAAGACCTCTCACTTCCAAGTGAAGAAGAATACTACCAGACCGTAGTACTACTGAGTGTCTTCACAAATTGCTTTTGTTATACCTAAATGGCTAAATTTTTTTCCTTATATAACTTCATACGTGTTTTATTTTCTTCGAAAAATATGAAGTTTGGATATTTTTTTTTCATTAATCTAGTTGTAATTAATAAAAAAAAAGATTATTAGTGTGGAGATTATACATGGTAAATGAAGTGAGAAGTGCCATGATTAATGCGGATAACATGAAAGGGAGCTGGCGCATCGGTATTACACTGACAAATGTGATTGCTACGACAATTTAACCCTTTTTTTTAAAGATTTTTCAGTGCCTGGATTTTTTTGCATATAATTCAATATCCTAAAGCAATGAGTTAATAGAGACTCATAAATTCAATTTGAGTGGTTCGAATTTTCTACTCCTTAGGCTCCGGACAGTGAAATCCGAAGAGGACCTCTGTCCTAGTTGGACCACAACACTAATTAATGTTGGACATTTTGAAAACTACCGCGCATAAATATTGAATAAACTTATAATGCCTCTTCAACTTACCTCTTTAGATGATATGAGCAAATATGTTTGAACAAATAAGAAAGCACTAGTACTGGGTGAATAATTGTGGTTTGCCACCAATTATCCCATTTTTTTGTAAAAAAAAAGAAAGTACCAGTACTACTAACTACTAAGTGGCAAATTACAAACTCCATTTTAACAGAAAATTAATTTAAAGTGGAAATTTACCCCTATGAATGACAACCACATAAAAATGCAAAACAAGTAGAATTTTTTCGATGCGATCGATCGGAATACAGGTGGTACACCACATTTCATTATGTGAGTGGAAATAAATTTTATTTTCTAAGTGTTCCTCAACTTGTATAATGATATGTGGTAATCACTTTGTTTTCTGACACACTTTAAAATCTCTTACAGTATGAGTAAGTTAATGACTACTAATCAAACTAAGAAATACAATAATAATGATTATATTCCTAAATCAAACTAGGGTTCACGCCAACAAAATTTACCTTAACCCCAAAGTATCAATTAATACATTGACACGCGTACTTGACTTGTCCAATACAGACCAGTTTAAAACTGGCAACTTCTCAAAACCGCGAAATTTTGGCATCATTTCTCTCTTGTCTTGGCCCGTTACCCTTCTTTCCCTCCCTCTCCCTCACCCTCTCCCTCTATCTATCTATCTATCTATCTATCTGCATTTCTCCCCGCCGGTTACTTTAACGGCGGAGCTTACGATACCGTTTCAGGAGTTTCCAAATATATACACAATGAATCCTCTTTAACGGTTTTTCTCTCTCTCTCTCTCTTGCTGTTCCAATTTGTGTTCTAAAATATAACTCATGATTCAATTTCCTTTTCTGGGTTTTGTTTCATTCATGCCTTTTGATGATTTCTTGAGTTCAAGTTTCAATCTTGGGATTTCCCCTTTTCCAAATTCTCTGATATTTTGACTCTGAATCTTATGATTTTATTTTCTTTAATTTTCTTGGGGGCAAAGTGTGAATTAGAATACCCAGAAAAATTACAAAAGAGAAGGTGAGAGAAAGTTGCAAAGTTGGTGCCTTCTTTTTGGGGTTGGAGAAGAAGAAGGAGAAATGGATATAACAGAGATGTCAATAATACACCATGTGGGGATTGTGCTATGTGGCCTGTGGTTGCTTTCCCACTACAATTGCTGCTACCCAGTTGCCTACTTTCTTTCTCTCGTTTATCTTTACCTGGTCAGAATTTTACTAATTGTTTTCATTCATCTTTCTTCATTACATACATATATATATATATATATGTATGTATGTATTTATGTATATATGTATTTATATATATTAGAATCATGCACATTGTAGTTTGCTAGATTTTCCTGCTAAAAGTATGTGGAATTTTGCTTGTTGGTGCTAACATTAGGGTCATTTACCTTTGATTCGTTTTACCAATGATGTGAAATGAATATTCCTTTCGGAAGGAAACATGATCTGTTATTTGAATAGGCAAACTGGTATGTGCTAAAAGGGATGTACTTAATTTGAACTTTTCTTGTACTTCTGAAAGGTTCATGAACGGTACCTTATGAGACTGCGGAAGAAATTACAGTTCGAGGAAAGACAACAGGCTAATCAGAGACGGGTAATTTTTCATTTTCCATTCTGCATTTCCCGTTGTGGTAATTGCTTTATTAGTTAAAATTATGTGTTCAACATGAAAGATGAAAAAAGAGAAACAAAATCCATCCCGATAATTGTTTTTGGTACATGTTGTCAAAATTTAAATCTTTGTTTCAGATGACACATGAACATTGCTTTTTTTCAATACTTCAGGTGCTTTCTGAATCTGAGACAGTGCGGTGGTTGAACCACACAATTGAAAAGATATGGCCTATATGTATGGAACAGATTGCTTCACAGCAGATCCTCCTTCCTATCATACCTTGGTTTTTGGAGAAGTACAAGCCATGGACAGCCGTAAGACTACAACTTCTGGTCTATTAAAATCAAATACGATGACTGCGATCATGCTGTTGATTTGGATTGATCACTTGGTCCTAATTGCTCTGTTTTAAGACTCTTGGATTTCTTATTGTAGTTCGATTTCTAATTGAATAATCTTCAAAGTACTTCTAGTTGCAACTACTTTTTGTTTTGTTTGTCAGCATTTGTTATCATATATTTGGTCTGGTTGAACGAGATTGTTGAGTGATTGACAACTCTCAAAGGATGTAATTCTTTGTTGGATCTTAACTTAGTTTTAGAGAGTGTATTTTCATTTATTAATGCTATCTAAGTGGCAACAACTGCTTATGTTGCATCCGCATCTTATATGAGCATTCAAATATTTTAGTACAACAATGACTAGTTTTGATATTGTTCTTCATTTTCTGATTGAACGGCATTGTGAATTAATCCTGAATCATAATGTGAATTATTTGATGTCCAATATTTCAATGTCTTTGTAGGTATAATTTTGGTGAAACATGTCTTTTTGTCTGAATACGATAGTGTCACCTTGTTATTTGGTGGTTAAATACATTTTTTTTTGAGTTATTAACAATGATCTGAATATGTCTGCAGAAGGAAGCGGTAGTTCAGCACCTTTACTTGGGAAGAAATGCACCTATACTCACAGAGATGAGAGTGGTTCGCCAGTCTGCTGATGATGACCACCTGGTATTGTTTACTTTCTCTGGAATGTTCGGTGAACAGTTTTCATGCATTCTTCATCAATGCAGGTCCGGAATCCAGATACTAAATATATTAACTTGATGCAGGTTCTGGAGTTGGGATTGAATTTTCTTACGGCTGATGATATGATCGCAATACTTGCTGTGAAGTTAAGGAAAAGACTAGGTTTTGGGATGTGGGCAAAGTTGCATATTACAGGCATGCATGTTGAAGGGAAGGTGACATCCGAAATTTACAATTGTGATTTTTCCGCCTTATGTTGCGCTGTACTTCATGTTATTTATGCTAGATGCTCTATGTTCTATGTTACCTTGTTGAGTTGGTTCAGCCAGTGTAACGTAAGAGTATCTGTAATATTTTTCATACCTTATTTATATGGAAAATAGGATGTCCATAACGGCATGTACAAACCACTGATACATTCTGATCAAGCTGTATTTTTCCCTGAAGGTCTTGATTGGAGTGAAGTTTCTTCGCAGGTGGCCATTCCTTGGCCGCGTGCGGTTGTGCTTCGTTCAGCCTCCATATTTTCAGATGACTGTTAAGCCTATTTTCACTCATGGACTTGACGTTACAGTACTCCCTGGGATTGCTGGATGGCTGGTAACTTTTACCATATTGGAGCAGAATAAATTCTTAATTCTCTCCATTTCTAGCTCTCCGTCTCTGTAATTTTCTCTCTGACTCGCTCTTTGTTATTTTGTCTGCCAGGAGAAGCTTCTTTCAATTGCGTTTGAGCAGACACTTGTTGAGGTATGGATTTCGGACTTTTACACTCCAACTGTCCTATGAAATTCTTTGATATCCAATGGACTCCTCTGTAAACTGCCTTTACATCTTGCCCCGATTTGAATGAAAATTAGACCTATAAATCTAATTATAACTTATCTTTGCAGCCTAATATGCTGGTTGTTGACATGGAAAAATTCGTTTCCCCAAAGCAAGGTAATTTTTATACACACACAGTCACACACGTGAGCAAACAGAAATGTATGTATTTTGATATAAACCTTATATAAATCTTTCCGCACATTCGGTTTTCATGAAATGAAAAGCTTTTAACTTTTATTATTTTGGCGTAGTAGATTTCTCACTCTAAAGTAATTAGTCTTTCATGCTTGAAGATATTGTTGCTTTTGAAATATAATTTCGTATGAGCTTCTGTTAAGGAGAAGCTGTAAACAGTGTCGTGAATGCTTCGTTCTGCAGTTGCATTGTCATGAATGCTTGGTCTCTGTGTGTGTCTCTCTCTCACACACAGACTCAAAATGTATTTTCGAAATGTTTTGATCAATAATCGATGCTTATTTGATACAGAAAGCTGGTTCTCTGTGAACGAGAAGGAGGCTCTTGCTCATGTCAAAGTAGAAGTTATTGAAGCATCTGATGTGAAAGCAGCCGATTTAAATGGTCAGTCTCTCTTTGCTGGTACATTGGTTTCTAACTTTCCACAGCATGTTTAAATTTTATATTTAACGAATAGAGCCCTTCTTTCAGGATTTTCTGACCCTTATGCTAAAGGTCAATTGGGCCTTTACCGGTTTAGGACTAAGATACAAAAGAAAACACTGTCTCCAAAATGGCATGAGGAGTTCAAGATCCCCATTCTTACATGGGATGCACCTAATGTGCTGGCTATTGAAGTTTGTGACAAGGACCGATTCGTCGATGATGCTCTTGGGTTTGCTTCTGAACTTTTTAGTGTAACATGTTTCCTTCTGTGCCTAGATTTATTCAAATTCGTTAACATAAGTACGCTTTCAGCTTATTTCGAGTGTTGTTTATCACCTTTTATTCCTATCAAATTGTTCCATAAGTGCTGTCTTACATGCAGGACTAACTTACTCTTATTCTATATCCAGCGACTGCTCGATTAACATTAATGATCTTAGAGACAGCCAGAGACATGACATGTGGGTGCCGCTTCAGAATATTAAAACCGGGAGGCTGCATCTTGCCGTAACTGTCATTGAAGACAATGTGAAGGTACCTTTTTACTTCATCTCAACCATGTTCTATTGATCAGGCTTACGAGTTGAAAATAAAGAGATTAGAGACTCGTGGTTTTAGTTGCTGCATAGGTGCAATACTTACCACATATGCTTGAGCCTCCTATTCAAGAATTTAACTTGAGCCTCCTACATATGCAGGGACCTGAGCAGTCAGAGGTTCAGGAAACGGTAACTTTGGAAGATAGAAGAAATTCATTTGCCAGCGACGCTAATGAAAGTTCCTTCTCGTCTATATCATCCGAGAAGTCTAACAGGGTAGCAGATAACTTTGAGCCGATTGATGTTGAAGGGCAAAAAGAGACTGGTATATGGGTTCATCACCCAGGAAGTGAAGTTTCACAAACTTGGGAAAGTAGACAAGGAAGGAGCCGACTACTTGACAACGAGATTCTAAATGATACTGGTAGCCGTAGTTCAGCTACATATGGATCCCAAAATAATGACGACAGTGGCATGGATAAAGATCCTGAGGAGAAACGGCACATGAAAGGAGTTCGCAAGGGACTAAATAAGTTCTGTGCGAAGTTCCACAGGAATTCCAAGAAGGACCTGGGTACAAGCAGCTTTAAAGAGACTGCTCGTTCTGAAAGTATTAATCTTAGAGGAGTTCATGACAATGAGAGTGGGGTGAAATTTATTGTGGAAGACGACCTTTCTGAGCCTCTTTCTTCTAAGGTTCCGAAAGGACAGGATTTCACTCCTGCAGGAGGGACTGGTTCAGATACCCCGGCAAAGGGCAAGTTGAGAGAGACGAAAAGTTTCTTCAAGCGTAATCAAAAATCTGACAGAAAAGATTTTGCAAAGTCTCAAAGTGATTCTTTGGTAGTGAACGGAAGAGAAATATTAGAAAATCTCAACTCTTCTGATGATGATCCTCTGCCCAAATAGTTGATATGTTAGCAGTTATGGTTGCAAGTGACACTGCAGTGGATGCTGAAGGTCCAATAATGAAGGCTGGGTTGAAATCATTCTGATAGTACCAATACCTCGTGGCTCCGGAAGTAGGGTTCTTTAGGATTCTTGCCACATTCTAATCCTTATTTAGCTCTCTCATGGCAGACTGGCTAACTTTGCAGTCGACAAGGTTGTGTCACAGCCGTGAGGGGTTCTCTTTTGTATTCGTAGGTACGCTATGTGAGTTGATTCGGTTGCCAATGCTTCATTGGAAATCAAGGTGACAAGAGGACATGACACAATAGCAGGTAGCATTGGGGGTGTATTATAGAACTGTTTTTTTTTTTTTTTGTCACCGGATTTCTCTTTTGGCGGTGCCCTGGTAGAGGGAGCTTGTTTGTTTGACAGACTCTGCAGACCTACATATGCTCGTCCTGTCAATCTGTTAACATTGGTTTGGTTTTGTTTTCTGTAAAGAACGAAAATTGTATATGACAAATTTTTTGAACACACACTAGTACATTACATCGATCTTCATGGTCGAAACCAATTTTTATGTAGTTCGTTTTGTGTAGTTATAAGTTCTTGATTGCAATTAATGCTTCAAAAGTTCGGGGAGGATGAAAATTTCTAGCCCCTTTTCACCATAAGGATCCCTTCGTGAACAGGTTGATCAAGCGGTAGCATAAAGAATTACCGACATTGCAGCCACACTTTGGGATGCCGGGGGTGGCTGTATCTCAAGAACCTTTTCGGTTAGCAGCACAATGTAGCACGTTCAGGGGTCTAAACCACAAAAACATAGAGAAAGAGAAGCAGAGAGAGAGAGAGAGTGGAAGAGAGAAAGGTGACATATTTGTATAGGGTTTAGGCATTTAAATTACGTAAGTTGATTAAACAAAGTGTCTTGAATTTAAATTACGTAAGTTGAATTTAATAAAATATTTAAATATAAAATCATATAATTGTCTTGAAACTTGACGTACAAAGTGTCTTGGGTGGGGTAAAACTTTATCAACAATTCAACTTTTTTTTGGGAATTTAATGCACATCATACTGGTAGCAAGTTTGAGCCTGTGAATCGGTTTTTTCCCACTCCACTTACAGAGGTCAGGTACCCAATCAATGCTTCTCTTCTCTTCTACTTCTTTTTCTATAATTTAATTTGTGACTTGTGAGTGATGTGCTTGTAAATATAATTAGGATTTTCAATTCTAGGGTTTATGATTTGTTTATTTTAATGCGTATTGTTTATGCAAAATCAAAGTATTCACTTGTCAATTGTCTATATTGCAGTTATAAAATTCGAACTTGTGGATGCACTTAATAAAGTGGTTAAATCCCTTCAAGAAGATAAATTATGGGTGCACTTAACAATGTTGGTTATTTTTGCTTCCTAACTAGTTTTGGTTCAAGATAATTCAACGTTTCGATGTTGAATTTTGTTAACCATACCAGTTACAGTTGCCTCTGCAAAAAGAAGTTTCTCAAAATTAAAGTTGATCAAATCGTATCTTCGATCACCTATGTCACAAGAAAGATTGAATGGATTAGCTATTTTGTCAATTGAAAAAAGAATTGGTTGAAAAATTAGATTATGTAAACTTAATTAATACATTTGTGTCTAAAAACGCGAGACGTGTAATATTTAAGTAATGTTTGCATATCTTTCTTCTTTGGATATGAATTCTAATGATTTTTTTATGTAGAAATGAAACTTTTTCATGTATTTAGCGAAACATTTTCTTATACATATAAATGTACAATGAGTTAGGTGTCAAAGAACTTTAGAACCTCCACTCGAAGGCCCGCCTAGGACCCCCAATTTCTCAAGGCCGGCCCTGATAGTGCACCTGAGGAACAGATCTCCAATATGGACCTCCAGCATGCACAACAGCCCGAACGGCTTAATCTTTCAATCAAAACTCTTGAAAATATCGCCAACGTCAAGTGCCTGTCTCTTTCAGCTTATAATTTGGAGATAAGCATGTCCTCACTTGTTTCTTTTTGTTATGTATGTTGGGAAGAATTATAAGGAAGTTATAATTATTAGGGTGGAGGTTAAAAGTAAGAAAAGGCAGTGAAGTCGAAGGAATCAGCTTTTTCTGCTTCATTTTTCTGATGCCATTTTTTCAATACTAGGGATTCGATGATTTCTGATGCCCTTTTTTCAATACTAGGGATTCGAAGGAATCTGCTTTTTCTGATGCCATTTTTTCATGTCCGTCGGAATGCTCAAAGGCCAAATTTCACGAGAAGGTAAAATACCTATTTTGGCAGAACAAGCGCTACAAAAAACAAAAAAAACAACTTGGCAGACGAAAATTTTCGTTGGGTCAAATTTGGTTTTGTTGCCTAAGACTTTAGACGACAAAAGTTCGTTGGGAAAAGTTGGTCCTACAAAAACCCATCACTCGAAGTCTTATCCGACAAGAAGTAGTCGTTTGTCCGGCAAAAATGAGTTTGCCCAATGAAAGAAGTCGTCGGGGTAAAGTGCATTGACTGCCTTTACCCAACGAAAATATTATACCCGTTGACGTCGTTTTGCCCCATTAAATTAAATACTATTAAAAACTTGACCCGATGAAATTTTCATCACTCTCCTAGAATTTGGAGTCTGTCTGGGCATACCAACCCATATAACTTGTCATCCTCGAAATGGCTTACAAGGAACTTTTCTATATGCCTAAGGGCATTAGTGAAATCTCCATTTGTAGCATTAAATGCCTGAGGTTGGAAGTTATCAGATGGGTTTTTCTCCATGTATTCTAATCTTCTTAGTTATAGCATGAATTAAGCGTCCGAAGTTGAAAGCGATTAGCTGAGCAGTAGTTAAAGTTACATTAAGTTACTAACTAATTAGCACTTATATATGGCAAGTTAGCAACATTCGTTTATCTAAAACCATATCTCAAGGGAAAGGAATATAGAGTGACCGATCTTTTCTAGAAAATTTGAATTGAAATCATGTGCAAGCGCTTGTTCTCTCCTACCAGAGAGCTTCCATTGCTTCCACCCAAGGGTAGGGTAGGCTCCGATCCAGGGATGTGTGTTGCCTTATCTGAAGCACTTGACCTTTTACAAATTTGTTTAAAGAAGGCGGACTTGCGGCGGGTTATTAGCATGTATATAGGTTAGAAGGCGGAGTTTCATTGATTAAAGTTCTTTCCAAGCATGCAAATTGGGAAGAGGTTTAACATAGCTACTTCAGCCTAGAAGATGAGAGTACAGTTGCATGTCAACTATTTCAGGAAATCCAATTCAACGCTAAAAGCGAAGGTTTTATTATACAACCAATAAAATTTCCAAGAAATTAAAAAGTACGTACTGCTTGTTAAATATCTTCTGTTTGAAACTAATCCAACCAAGCTTATTGTTATAAGCTCCCTGACTGATTTAAGGCAAGGTCATAATGTGTGATCAACACATTAAATTTTCCTCTCCTGATAATTCGCCCTGAAGTAACTTGTTAGTATGATAGCCAAGCAGGCGATTGGCAAACAAGGCTCGATCCCCTTAAAACCACAAATGCAAAGAAAGCTTCCTTACAACACAAGTAAATAAAACGAGGCATTGTGCTCATTTGATTTACACGAGCGAGCATTCTTGAATTCATCGGTTTCTTAAAAAAGACTTCCCCATGTATATTGATTTATGAAATAATCTTACACAAAGCAACCCAATTTCAAGGTGTCAAGGTGCGTGATACAATTCAAGGAAGAAGGTAAATATACAAGCCGAAAATATTAACAGTATGAAAGTTATAAAGGAGAAAACATGATCACTTTACAATTCGTGGTTAGCCATTGATTTACTCTGGTTGGCAATACCAGTGAACACTAACAAGCATTTTACATTAATCCTGTTTTTGTGGAAGCAATACCAACAGCGGCTGCAATTTGTTCTTCTTCTTCTATAATTTGGAGTCTCTCAGGACATACCGACTCATATAACTTGTCATCCTCAAAAACCGCTCATAAGGATCTCCTCCATACGCCTAAGGGCAGTAGTTAAATCTTCATTTGTAGCATTATGCGTCTCATCATGAGGTTCAAAGTGATCAGCTGCGTTCTGTTTTGTATACCAATGTGCATTACCGTAATCTCCGGTAGTTGCAGAATAATGCTCCTGAGGTTGAAAGTGATTAGCCGCGTTCTCTTCTTTATACCTAGGATCATAAATGTAATCTCCAGTTGTTGTAGCAGTAATTGCCTGAGGTTGAAAGTGATCAAATGCGATTTGCTCAATATAGCTAGGGGCATTATTGTAATCTTCAACAGTTAAAGCACTAAGCGCCTGAGGTTGAAAGTGATTAGCTGCGTTTTCTTCATAATTATCTCTTTCCCTCCAGCTTCCTTTTCTTTGATATGTCATCCTTTCTTCTAAGAATACAAAGAACAATATTCTTCTCCTACATTTGAGAATCGCGTTTGCTTTTGTTAATATAAATTCCAATCCTTACTAAAATATATAAAAAGGTTCTACATGCATATACATACATACATACATACATATGTGTGTGTGTGTGTATATAATGTATTGCTTTCTCTAACGACTGTAGAAATAGAGCAATACTTTTTATTAGTGAGCAAAGTTTCAATGTCAACTAGAAAATTAAGAAAACGAAAAAGGAAATCGCAAATAATTAAGTCCTTATAAGATTGTTCCCATGCCAATATACTTCCTTGCCTGCCAATATTAATATATGTATAAGCGTGAATATATTTTATAAGCTTTTGATTCGTTCTTCTTAACTTTGTCCTAGAGGCCAAGTTTAGACAGAAAACCTAAAAATAATTTAAAAGAAAGAAAAGTGTACTTACTTGATGATGTTTGTTTCGTAGTAAAGATGGATCAAGATGGAACTCAAGCATAATCCAATGGTCATTCTGCGGGGATCCTTTGTTCCTGTACGTAAATCTTTTTCTGAAGCCAATAGCATGTTTAATCCCAGAAGCGTAGATTTCCTTGCCGGCATCTTCGCCTTTCCAAGTGCCGCCGGTGGTGCCAACTGTTCGGCAAACACGCGAGCCATTAGGAGCCTTCGAGTTGAGTGTGGTGAAGACGTAGATATCTTTATCATCTGTACATTCTTGACCATCATGTGATGCACGGTTAAGACGTCTCCATATGTCCGATGGTTCTTGTTGGAACCCTCAGTCCCACATCGGACAGAGGGAGAAGAAAATAGTGCTTTAAATAGAAATACCCCTCTCTAACTAACATCGAGGCCTTTTGTGATAAAACCCCACACCTGAGGATTGTGCAGGTGGTTAAGTGGGGACAGTATCGGTGTTGTTGGAGTGGGCCCTCGGCCCGTCGACCGGAAAATTTCCACATGGTATCAGAGCCAGGAGGCGGACCCGTACTGCCACGTGATTGGGTGGGTCCCCTTTGGCCCCGCGTGATTGGGTGAGTCCCGACATGGCTTCACGTGGTTGCTGATGTGTGGAAATTCACGTGTGACCCATAAGTGGGGTCTCACGTGCGGGGGAGTGTTGGAACCCTCAGT